CAGGTGTCCTGTGTTCCGTGGTAGGTCTGACAGTAGAGATCTTAAAAGCACTGTGGAAAGCCGTTTTAGAATTAGGAAAAGGACCTGGGCCATTGCCAGAATTCCCTCTTTTTAACCCATGAAGACAGATCCCTAAAGATGTGAAGTGATGGATCCAAGTCATATACCAGCCAGTGTCAGAACTGGGCCTCCAACCCAGTACACTGACCCTGATTCAAGCCACAGTCCCTTATGCTACTGCGGGACGTGCAGACTGAGGCCACACAGTCTTCCTGGGCCTGACACCAGGTCCAGGGATTACCGTGGCGAGAACAGCCACCCCTCTCTGTTGTCAGAGTCCACCCCTGGACTCTGCTGTCCTGCTAGGGAGACAGGTAGCCCAGGCCCCTGTCCTCCGTGCATCCACCCCCTGCTCGGGGCAGGCACAGGCTGCCAGAGGATGCTGCCAGGGTCTGAAACAAGATCCAAAGGCTGAGCAGGAATTAGCAGTGCTCTGTGTGGGCTGGGAAGCATGGGACCAGAAAAATCAGTGTGGCTGGAGTTCTGGGAGCCTGCTGTATATGCATCATGCCATTCGCTGATGAAGCCAGCAGGAAATTCCAGGAACCCACGTCAGTGATCTCGTGGGAGTGTTTTGAGGCTAAATGAAGCAACATTTGAAAATGCCCAGCATGGTATCTTGCCCAGAGCTCCAGGCAGGGGTTCCCAGACCACACCCCCTCTGTTGACACAAGAAGGGGGACATGGTTAGATATGAGAATGAGGCAAAAGTGACCGGAGAGGAGGAGGGCTTACTTGGCGAAGGTGCTGCCCTGCTGGACCTTTGTCCCCTTTCCTGGTTACAGGGGACATATAAACAGGAAAGAGCCAGACAGTGGTGACCTTGGGATTGCCTAAACAGCCCCTTTCCTAATGAAGAATGCTGAGCTGTTCTCCACCCCCACGCCCATTCCCCATCAAACACAGCCCACCTCGTCGATACTGCTGCTCCCCAGCAAACAGTGCCCCATTTCAGAGCTGCCTGGAATCTCCCTCTCCCAACTGTGGAACACTGTGAGCCCCATTCAGCCAAGGGATACACGACCAGATGACTTTACACTGCATGTTAACCGTTGTCCAGGGCCTAGGACAATCAAGCCAATGTCCACTGTACACGGGAACCCAATGCCCCAGTAATCCCTGAGGTTTTACTTTGACTTATTCTGAGAAAGTAGGCTCTGATGGCTTGGAATCAAAGACCACACAGTGTCTGTGTTCACACAGGTGTTTAAGTGGTCCTCCATCCCCTCCTCCACTGTGTCCCAGTTCCTGGGTGGGACACCCAGCAGCTGCTTGTACACAAGCTGGCTGAGCTGACTCTGGGTATCAAGAGTGCACTGCAGAGCCCAGGGGGGCCCATGCAATTTACTTATTTTAAAAATATTTTTTATGCAAGTATCTTTTAAAGAAATATTTATGTACGGCTGTGCTGGGTCTTTGTTGCTATGCGGGCTTTCTCTAGTTGCGGCAAGCAGGGGCTGCTCTCTAGTTGCCACGTGCAGGCTTCTCGTTGCAGTGGCTTCACTTGTGGAGCACTGGCTCTGGGGTGTGAGGGCTTCAGTAGTTATGGAGCACAGACTCCGGAGCACAGGCCCAGTATTTGTGGCACTCTGGCTCAGCTGCCCAGCGGCATGTGGGATCTTCTCCGACCAGGAATCAAACCCGTGTCCCCTGCATTTCAAGGCAGATTCTTAACCACTGGACCACGAGGTAAGCCCCTTACTGTTTTGATTTTTGAATCAGCTTTCTTGAGATATAATTTACATACCATAACATCAACCCATTCAAAATACAGTTCACCAGCTTTTAGTACAGTCAGGGGTATGCAACCATCATCATAATCTAATTTAGGAAGATTTGTGTTATCCCAAAAGGAAGCCTTCTTCTCCTTAGCAGTAATTCCTCCCTCCCCTGGCCCTCAGCAACCGCTAATCTACTTTCTGTTAGTATAGGTTAGTCTTTTCTGGACGTTTCATGTGAATAGAATCATCCTTCTTTTGTTAAATTTATTCCTAAGTAATATTCTCTTTGTGTATTGTAACTGAAATTGTCTTCTTAGTTCCTTTTCTAGATTGTTCATTGCTAGTTCATAGAAATATAGCTGATTTTTGTATATTGATCTGTGTTCTGTAGTCTTTCTGAATCTTTTTATTCTAATAGTATTTTTTAGCATATTCCTTGGTCTCTTCTATGTGCAAGCTCATCTCATCTGCCAATTGAGGTATTCTTCACTTCTTTTCCAATCTGTATGCCTTTCATTTTTCTTGACTAATTGCCCTGGCTATAGCGCCTCCAGTGCAAATTGATGAGCTGACATCTCTGTTTTGTTCCTGATCTTAGGCAGGGAAGTATATTTGTCACCAGCAAACAGGATGTAGACTAGGAGTATGTGGACAGGGGTCCTAAACCCAGCCAGGGCTCAGACTGCATGGAGAGAGGTAGGAAGATGCCAGTGTGGCCTGCAGCAGGGTGAGAGGCTGGGAGCAAGTGGGGCCACGCCTGGCAGAGACTTGGTAAGCCAAGGGCAGGGGGAAGCTGTTAGAAGGATCATCAGTGGAGAGTGAAGTAAACTAATAACACACTGAACTGATGTTCAGGGAGCCTTGAAAGAAAGCAACTGGCAGGAATGACATGAAGGGGAGGAGCTGGGTGACCTCAGTCAAAGCTGGAGGCAGGTGGGCCGAGGAGCAAGGAGGGAGACTCCTGGGAAGGCTGCAGGCAGGCTGGCCCTTCTTTTCATAGAGTCATCCAGCTTTGACTCTTTGCTAAGAGGGCTCCCTGCCTAGAGAATGCACCCAAGTCCCAGTATTCTTGGGTTCCAGATACCCCAACAACCTGCATTAATGGTGGTAGGTTTCTCCCCATGGACAAAAAAGAGGACAGCTCTCCATCTATGAATATTTGGTGAGTGTATGTGTGTGCATGTGTGTGCATAAGCGCACATACCCTCCCAACTCCACTCCCTGGAAGTGCCAGACTGCAGGCTTCCTCCCTCCCAGGGTGTTCTAAATGCACACACACACCCCCACCCCCTCCATTCCTTGTTGCTGGGAAATCAGATGACTTCTGGTATCCAGGCTAATGGCTCTTATTAACCAAATGCTGACACATCTCTAATATATAGGTTACTTAATTAAAAACCTGCTTATCTAGCCAGCCTGCTTTCTCAAGCAGGCAATGGGGATTTCCAATAGACTAGGAAGGAAATGATGTCATGCTAACCATCTATATGATGTCTTTCCTCTTCGATAAAAGTGCCTGGTGGGGGTAGGAAGGTGGGCAGGGGGGTTGATGTGAGAAGAGTGGAGCCTGAGTTACCTTGGGGTTTGCTCCCTTCTACACAGGGAGTCCCAAGAAGCACTCAAGGAACCCCACCCCTGCTGAGGACAGCTAGCAGCCGTACCCCCCGACCCTCAGCCACCCCCTTATGATCTGACTTGCTCATCAGCACCCAGTAGCATCTGTTGTCACAGGACCTCAGCGAGGACAGTGAGGCTCTGGCCTCTTCAGAACACGGCTCAAAACTAGGTGTGCTTTTTCTCTCCAGAACTCAGGCCCCAGGAAATACTCTCCCTTTTCCTCCACCCTCACACAGGTGTTAGCAGGCCTGGCCAGACCTAACGGCCAGCCCCACTGTGTTGAGTTCAGTCCAGCCCCTCTTAGAAGTCTTAAGTTTCTTTCAGAAGCAAATGAACATAGGCTTCACTTTAGTTAGTCTTTAAAGGGGGCATGGGGATGTTTGCTATATTTGTTTCCTAAATGCATTCTCTAAATGCTTTTGATGAACATACTTAATAAAGAGTTATTCCAGACATGTTTCAAGATCTCACTAACGAGGACCATGCCTTTGAGACAAGGTATGAATGGTGACTGGAGGAAGTGTAGTTTGTAGAAGGAATACATTTAAAGCTAGAAGAACTTAAATACATTTAAAACTGGATTAGGGCCTCAGCACTGGAGATATTTTTGATGATCATCACCAGGTAGAGGAGGTGATACTGGCATCCGTGGGGTAAAGGCGAGGGATGTTGTTTACCCCCCCACAGGGCACAGGATACCCCCTGCAACAAAGGATCTTGACACCCACAGCATCAGGAGTGCTGATGTTGAGAAATTACTTTGGATAAATTTTCTGTACAAAAACATTCATAGCAGCATTCTTCTGTAATGAAACTGGAATTATCTCAAATGACCATCAACAGTGGGCTGGATAAGTAAATGGTGACATATTCATGGAATGGAATAGTAAATATAAAGCCGTGAGAATGAATGAGTCAGAACTACATGCATCAACAGTGTTCATCTCAAAAATGGATCGAGTGAGGGAATTCTCTGGTGGCCCTGTGGTTAGCACTTGGTGCTTCCACTGCCATGGCCTGGATTCAGTCCCTGGTCAGGGAACTCAGATGCGGCAAGCTGTGCACCATGGCTGGGGGGAAAAAATGGAGCAAGTTATAGCAGTGTGTGATTTTTACAGGTAAATTATGCCTATTGTTTAGGGATACTTATGTGCATGGTAAAACTACAAAGCAAAGCAGAATTATTAATATAAAGTGCAAGCTAGGGGTTCATTGTGGGAGGGCTTGCAGTTGAGAAGAGGCACCTGCAGGCTTTCGTGGCAGAGTTCTGGTTTCACAGTTGGGGGTGAGGGGAGTACATACATGACTGTCATATTATCATTGAGATGTGTAAATATGTTTTATAAACTTGTCTCACGTATTTCCTTCTAGGCTGGGAACACAGCAACAGCAGCTAACATTTATGCAGAATTAACCACGTGCTTTTGCACCGACCTTGTCAGGAAGGGTGTTTTATTCTCCAAGAAAGTTTAGATTGACATGTCCTTCTAAGGATGGGGCTAGATTTGAACTTGAGCAGTGTTGGCTCCAGGCGCCAAACCCTCTCGCAGTGCTGCCGCCTCCTGTTGGGTCCCCTCTCACCTGCCTCCTCTCTCTCCACAGGGCCCGGAGACAAACAACCAGCCGGCCTCCCCCAGCAGGGGGCAGACCCAAGCCCCAGCCCAAGCCCAAGCCTCAGGTGCCGCAGTGCAAGGCTCTCTATGCCTATGACGCTCAGGACACGGATGAACTCAGCTTCAATGCCAATGACATTATCGATATTATCAAAGAGGGTAAGTGCATGGCTGGCTGGGATAGGCTCAAAGAGCAGACAGTCACAAGGCTATAAAAACTAGTTTAAATGTGAAGGGAATTTATGTACTCCTCTAACTGAAATTGGAAGAGGTAGGTCAGACTTCAGGCTGATTGAACTGAAATTAAACTCCAGCTTAATTTTTTAATACTTCTGTCAGCTCTGCTCTCCTTTGTATTTCTTCCCTCCTCTGGCTGTTTTTCCTCACGGTAGCAAAAAGACTGCCTCAGTTCTAGGCCAACAGATCAAACCACATCTAAAATCCATTTTACTTCTGAAACTTCTTCTCTTAGCCATTGGATAGAAAGCCTAGGTTTCACTCTGATTGAATGGTCATGTGCCCATTCCTGAATCAGTCTCTGTAGCAAGGCAAATGCTGTAATCCCAAGTGGGCTAGACCTGGGGGGGATTGCCCTTGGAAATGGTAGGTAGGTCTATCCCACCCAGATTTCATGGCCTGTCGTGCTGAAGGTAGATGGAATGGAAGCTAGGGAGACAACCTGTAACATCCACTATAAAAATGGTCTGGTCTGGGGGCTCGGCTGAATACTTTTATTAATTTGGTAGAGAAGATACATTAGCACAAACACTACTGCTTATGGAAGCATGAAAAACAAAAAATCACTCCTAATTTAGAATGTTAGAAAAAGTACCCTGATGGAAATGACATCTGTGGTGAGGGTTGGGGGTTGGGGGGACAGAGAGAGGAGCCTTGGAGGCTAGAAAGAGCAGGTCATTTTAGGAAAATGAGCTGACACTTGACCCCGGTGAGGAACCCTCAAGGAGATGTCACAGGGGATGAAATGAAGCCAGAGTGGCCTGGTCATGGAAGCCCTGGGTGTCAGGCTTAAGACAAGTTGTCAGGACAGAGCAGAGCCATCCAAGGTGCAGGAGCAGAGCAGCGACAGTCCGAGTGGACGGGGGTTCCCCGCAGGGGCCGCTTTCCTGAAGAGGTGGCCAATTCTCACTCCCAGGAGAATTCTAGGTCCCCAGACCAAAGTCCTTCTAAGCAGCCTCTGAGTGCTATTTTTAATCTCCTTTTAAACCACCTGGTTTTCTACAGGTGTTAATATTTTAAGCCATTTAATAGTCTTCAGAAAGTTGAAATAAAAATAAGTATTGAAATGAACTTTTAGTAACACAAACAGGATTTTTATCATCAGCGTTGTTCAGCAAAAATATGGGAAATGACCTAATATCCGGTGACAAGGATTAGTTAAATAAGCTTTGCCATATCCACTCAGTGAACTTGGATGCAAAAATTCTTGTGTTAATGATGCAGAAGTACAGTACATTTATTGAAATGGAAAAATGTTCATGAAGAAAAGGAAAAATTAAAAGGCTGAACTAGTCTCATTTTTGTAAAAATATATAACACATGGAATAGGAAAATTTTTTTAATGTTTTTAAAAGTAAAAAATGTTAAAGTGTCCCCTTAAGAGTTGAACTTTCTTTTCAGTATTACTTTCTTTTCATTTCTCAATATTTTCAAAGTTTTGTAGAACTAACACAGTGGGTATAATTAAAACAATTACATATTTGTGTAAAATGTAGAGTCCTAAAAGTTATCAAAACATGCTATAAAGTATTGCTTTACTTTAAAGTGTGGTGTGAGTGCAGGAATTGACATACAGATACAAGGGATAGAATAGCACCCAGAAACAGACCCCTGTGTGTATAGGTATTTAATAGATGATAAATGTGGCATTTGAAATCAGGGGAAAGAATAGAGTTACTTTCCATTTTGAAAAGAAAGTTTGCTGTATGCTTCTTATACAAAATACCTATCAGATGAATTAAAGATCTGAAAATATATGACGAAACTATAAAAGTCTTAGAAGGAAACCTAGAATATTATCTTTGGGTGAGAAAAATCTTCCTGTGGAAGATGTCAAACTCAAAAACCATATAGGATTTAACCTCATAAAAAGGCTACATTGAAACCTACGTGGTGAATAGCACTGGGAAAGTTAAATGATAGAAAACAGACTAGGAAAAAAATGTTTTACATATATAAATAACTCCTCTATGTAAATAATACAAATAATCCAGCCCCAAAGTGGACACAGGTTATTGGGGCAATCAATGCATAGCAGAGCCTCCTATGATGTCAGCAAAGATTAAAATGTGAGAAAATCCACATTCCCTTATCCAAATCCTTTCGGTAAATTGAGGTTCAGAAATCAGAGCTTCTGCAAAGTTAATAATGGAGTATATATAAACATCATGTAGTATATATACACATCATGTAGTATATAACACCCCTTCCAGTTTCCAGGGCAACAGCTTAGATCAGCCAGTTTCTGCTGTGGAAACTAAGAGCCTATATGCTCAGTCAAAGACATCATAAACAAGCCCATGTCAGTTCAGGTCAAGTTTGGCCAGCAGATGGGTTATAGAAAACTCAATTTTTAGAACTTTCGGGACTTTGTCACTGCAAATAAAGTATGGAATGTAATGTTTGTGTTTAGTCAGGGAAATGGGTACCTTCTTTCCCTATTTACTGCTGAAATAGATTTTTGGGAAGGAAATTTAACAGTATTTTTCAAAATTATTACTTTGGATTTATATATTAACCCCTCCCCCCAAGGTCAGTTCCAAATAAATTAATACTTACATGCATAAAAGAAATACAGAAGTCCTTGATGTAAGTATAAGACAGTTTTCTTTTCTTAATAGTGTCAGTGTGGGAAATGATTTCTAAAAGTGATAGAAAACAAAGACTGTAAAATAATCTTTTGATTCAACTGCTCAAATATTATGTCAGAGTAAATAAAAATGGGAAGAAGGACATTTGTAACTCATGTGACAGATTCACTAGTATATAAAAAAACTAATCAACAAGAGGCCAACATGAAATAAAATTAAGCAAATGATAATGAACAAGCATAGCTATAGAATACAGAAGCTCTTTATATGCAGATGTGAAATGATCTTTAGTTTCTATTATTAAGGTTAAAGAGCCTAACACATAGTATGCTATCATTTATATACAACAGGTTGTTGACTTTTTAACAAATACTTTATAGACATGAACTATATCTCTGGAAGAAAGGGCAAGAAATAGGTAATACTGCTTGCCCTCCAAGAAGGGATCTGGGTGGTTGTATTCACTGTTAATACTTTCACATGCATTTTCAAAAGTACAAAAGGATAATCTATCACAAAAAGTAAACTAGATTTTCTTAAAGGATAATAGAAGGTCCATATTCTTTGCTCCAAGAATCTGTCCTATAGAACTGCTTGCACATGGGCATAAAGATATATGTATGGACACTTATTGCATGAACAGCAAAAAAATAAGAGAATGGCTATACAAATTTTGGTTTACGATGCAGCTGTTTAAAAAATGAGATGCAGTCATGGAAAGATGATTGAGTAGTGAAAAGCAAGATGCAGAAGAGTAAGATATAGAATGACCTGTCTAAAATGAATGTGTGTTTATAATCACAGAAAAAGGTCTGGAAGAATATATACCAAATACTTATTACTGGTGAGGGACTAGGATTAAGCTGGGAAGTAAGGATGGTGAAGTGATGCAGATCAGTTCTCCCAGAAAGATGGTGAGGTGGAGTAAGGCATGTGAAAGGTGTGTCAGGAAAGAAAAGGGGGGACACAGGATTCGAGTCATCAGACTGCAAGCTGACGTCACAGCCTGCCAGCCCAGCAGCTGGCCCGTCTCACAGGTGGGAAGATCCCACGGGGCCAACCACTGGAGACGGGCGGCAAAACCTCACCACTGGGCAGTGGGTTCTTCTGGAAGGGGGCCTGTGAGGCACATCCGCACATCTGATTTTCATAAAAAGAACATGAGAAAGAACATGGATGGAGCCTGGTCTCCTCTGCCTGTGGGTGCACCTCTGGGAGCAGAGGCCCTGACTAACCTTCACCATCTCCATGTCCCCGCAGATCCTTCTGGCTGGTGGACGGGGCGACTGCGCGGCAAGCAGGGCCTGTTCCCCAACAACTACGTGACCAAGATCTGAGGCGCGCAGAGACTCTGACGCTAGGGACGAAGGAGCTTCAGGCACATGTGGGAGGGGATGTGTGGGGCCCCCCTCCTGATCCATAGCGAGCAGCTGCTTCTGCGAGGCCTGGAGCTCCTCGGCCCCCTGCCCGTGGAGGACTTCACAGAGCTGGGTTGGAGACAGGGAGTGTCACTCCACAGGAACCCAGGAGGGCAAAACAGGCACCCACTAAGATTTATTTATTCTATTTAAACCTGGTGAGAGGACCAGGAGGTCCACGCCGACCTTGCCAGCTCTATCAAAACAGCACCTGCTCGCCCACCAGGCCCAGGGGCCGGCCCTGGGTGGCCACTGACAAGTGCCTTTAGTTGAAGAGCACATCTCTCTCATCCCTCTCTCGTTACCTGACATGCGCATTCCTTGGCCAGCTGCCCTCCGAGGGGACCCGCTCTCTGCAGGTGCGGGGGGGCTTGGCGGGAGCAGGCACTTCCCATGCAGATGCCAAGGGCCTGCTGGGCCCACAGGTGCATGGGTGCCACTGATTTTGCCAGGCAGCAGGGCGGTGGCTGGGCTGTGGGCTAGGCTCTCTCTGGGTCTTCAGTTGGTATGTGGCTGGCCCATGTTGGTTTTCGTGTTTAATGCTGTACCTATTATGAGAAGGATCTTTTTTTTTTCAGGTTTTCCTTTTTTAAAAAACCAAAAAAAACCAGATCATATACTGTATATATAAAAATCTCCAGATGGTAGAAACATATATGAATGTACTAAGCAGTATCCCACTGTACTTACTCTTAAGATAGGTTTTATGACAAGACTCACATCAGGTACTTACAGACTCGCACTACTCCTTTCTGACTGTAGAACCATCAGTGTTACTGCTTCCGACCTCAGTCCCCACACACCCTCCCAGCCCTCGCCTGTTGGGAGTTCTCCTCTGTCCCCCACTCCATGTCTCCTCCCCTGACCTCCAAAATAAAGGAATCAATGAACCACCTTGCTCTTTCATGACCTGTGTCTGGGTTGTGTCCACCCCCACAAGAGAAGATATGTTCAGGTCCTAAACGCCAGCACCTTACTTGGAAATCGGGTCTTCACAGAGGTGACTTAGTTAAAATGGGGTCATCAGCAGGGCCCCTAATCCAATATAACCACCATCCTGATAAAAAGAGGAGATTTAGACACAGATCAACACAGAGAGAGGGAGAAGATGAGTGAAGAGTTAGCCACCTGCAAGCCAAAGGAGAGGGCCTGGAACAGAGCCTCATGGTCCCCAGAGGAGACCAGCCCTGCCAACACCTGCATCGCGGACTTGCAGCCTCCACAATGGTGAGGCAGGAGATTTCTGCTGGTAAGCCACCTGGTCTGTGGTACTTAATTAAGGCAGCACTAGCACCCCGAGACAGTGTTCGCTGCAACAGCGGTGAGAAGTTGAAAACAGTGTCATGTCCACCGACAAAGGAATGGCCTCAACCTCTCCTCCTGGTTGCCACAGCCAGCTTTAAGCTCCTGGGAAAGTAGGATTTGATGGCACATCCCTTTTTGTCATTTTGGGGTCTCCAAGTCGAAGGGAAAAAAATTATCGGGGATTATAAATTAGGGGGAAAATGTATTTGAATTTGGGGCAAATAATTCTGTTTTACTTCAAGAGCAGAGAGCAAATATCATTTGCTAACAAATAGTGTTTAAAGTATATTTCAGTTCCATTTTGTGACCACTTAAGAAAGGAAAAGAAAGCCGTAACGTGATGACATAAGGAAAGGTAATTCTACTGACACTAATAGTCTCTGTATCTCACAAGGGACTTTCAGTTTCACTCACTTGGACTCACTGAAGAGCAGGAGGAAGGACACAGGAGAGCATCAGACTCCCCACAGCCCCAAGGCCAGGCCGCTGCCTTAGGAGCAGGGCCGTCCAGGTGGCCTTTGGTGTCATCATGAGCCCCCAACTCCCCCTCGAGGCTGGGCCCGGGGCTCATGGTGACTGACACTGAAGTCCGGGGCCGGGCTCCAGGAATTCGGGCGTTGCCTGAATCGGTGACAGCATTGATGTTTCTAGGTAAAGACTTAAATACAGGTTTCTCTCCTCTGTGGATCCAGCCAGGCCTGCCATTGTTTAGACAGACATGAGGCTAGTACAGGAATCACTTAACCTGGAAGAACCTGGAGAGGGTGAAGGGCCATCCCCACCTCCTAGAACCTGTCATCCTGTTTAGGAGAAGGGTCCTGTGTGTATAGCATTAGAAACCGTTACATTATGAAAAGGTGACAGATCCCTTCAGCTGATGATACAAAGTAACCGAGAACCAGAGGAGCAAGCTTGAACTTGGACCCTAGGGCAGAGGTGTTCAGACTGGTAGTGGACCAGCAGTTCCCAAACCCCTTGGCCTCAGAACTCCTTTACACACTTCTCTACTACTAACAACCTCCAAGAGCTCTGCTTTTGTTGCAGTCATCAGTGTTTACCATACTAGAAATTCAAAGTGAGAACATTTTAAAACACCAGTGAACACGCACATTCCATCACATGCCACATAGCCTCTGGAAGATTCCACCATAACCTACTGACAGAATGAACAGTAAAAAAAAAAAAAACCACACACACACAAATAACATCCTAGTATTGGGAAGAGTTTTTGGCCTCATGGCCACGTTTTGAGAACCACAGAGGGGTAAGTGCTAATAAGCAGAGGATGCCACAGGCAAGGAGAATGCCTGGCTTCCTGAAAACATTATGCAAGGGTCAACTTTGCAATGTTGGGGAAAGCAAGACTGACACCCATGAAGAGGGCAAAGCTGAGTCTTCCTTACGAGCTTGCTCCCCTATCAGCCGGGGTGCAACCACCCATACCCGCCTCCCCCCATGACACCTGACCCGTCACCAAGTCTGCCCCATGAAGGCAGTAAGGGGTGAGGAGTACAGTTTTCCCATTTAAAGGACATTCCCTCCAAAGTGCACATATCCCATCCACTCACGTTCTGCTGGCCAGAACTTAGTCCTATGGCCTCAGATGCAGGGGTTGGGAGTCTTGCTGGGGACAGCCTCTGCCCAGAGCAGCTGGTCCAGCTCTGAGAGCTCACTCACAGCCATGCCTCCTTCCAGGGAGAGATTCTCACAAGCACAAGTGAGGAACAGCATGGCTGTGCACCCACAGAACTTAAGTCTCCAGGCTCGCTGCAGAGCAGGACGTGTACACAACCCAAATCCTTTCCCACATGACTCCCCTTCAGCTCCCCAGACCTATGTGCTGCTGGGCAGGCCCAGCTTGTCCTACCTCTGGAACAGGTGATTTCCTGGGCGGTTTCATTGGAGAGTTCTGGGAGCAAAGTCCAGAGCATGCACAGTGTATCTTTGGTGGAGGACCTTACAACTTCATTGGATCCCTCACCTTTGTGGTCAAGAGAATGGGAGCCACTTTGCCCCCATCCCTCCTTGTTTTGTCTCCCAAGGCCTTGCCAGTCTCACTTTTACTCCTTCCGGCTCATCTTGATGCCTTCCCCTCCCAGTGTACGGGACTACCTACCCTGCTAGCCAGCATGTCCTAGCCTAAAATGTCCACTTTGCAAATGAGAAAGTGCAAGGACAATGCCCAACTAGAACCAGCCACCATTGGAACCCTGATCTGACCCCAAGTTCTATGCTTTTAGTCTTTGTCTTCAGTTAAATATTAAGATGCTTGATGGTGTGTTAATATCTTTCAAATCTTTCAAAATCTTTTCAATATCTTTCAAAAATCAGAAACCTAAAAACAAACATAAAACCTTACAAATGACTCAGAGCCTAGAAACAAATCCACACACCTACTGTCAATTAATCTTTGACAAGGGAGGGAAGAATATACAATGGGGAAAAGACAGTCTCTTCCCCAAGTGGTGTTGGGAAAGCAGGACAGCTACATGTAAATCAATGACATTAGAACACTCCCTCACACCATACACAAAAATAAACTCAAAATAGTTTACATACTTAAATATTAGACATAACACCATAAAACTCCTAGAAGAGAACATAGGCAAAACATTCACTGACATAAATTGTACCGATGTGTTCTTAGGTCAGTCTCCCAAGGCAGTAGAAATAAAAGCAAAAATAAATGGGACCTAGTCAAACACAAGCTTTTGTACACCAAAGGAAACCACAAAAAAGAAAAAAGACAGCCTACAGGATGGGAGAAAGTATCTGCAAACAATGCAGCCAATAAGGGCCTAATTTCCAAAATATACAAACAGCTCATACAACTCAACAAAAAAGCAACCCAATCAAAAAATGGGCAGATATTAGTAGATATTTAGTAGATATTTCTCAGTGTCTAGATGGCCAACAGGCACATGAAAAGATGCTGAACACCACTGGTTATGAGAGAAATGCAAATCAAAACTATTCAATAAAATAAAGTACCACCTCACATCAGTGATTAGAATGGCCACCATTAAAAATTCTACATACAAACAACAAATGCTAGAGAGGATGTGGAGAAAAGGGAACACTTCTACACTTTGGTGGGAATGTAGATTAGTACAGCCATTTTGAGAAACAGTATGGAGTTTCCCCAGGAAACCAGAGTTTGATCCAGCAATCCCCCTCCTGTGCATATATCCAGACAAAACTGTAATTCAAAGAGATACATGCACCCCTGTGTTCATAACAGCCCTGTTCACAATAGCCAAGATGTGGAAATAATCTGACAGATTAATGGATAAAGCAGATGTGGTACATATATATAATGGAATACTACTAAGCCAAAAAAACCCACAAAATAATGCCATTTATAGCAACTTGGGTGCAACAAGAGATTATTGTGCTAAGAGACACTCAAACATGGAATCTAAATATGACACAGATAAACCTATTTATGAAACAGAAACAGACTCACGGACATAGAGCATGGACTTGTGGTTGCCAAGGGGGAGAGGCTTGGGGAAGGGATGGGCTGGGAGGGTGGGATTGGCAGATGTAAGCTATTATATATGGAATGGATAGATGAACAAGGTCCTACTGTATAACAGAACTACATTTAATATCCTATGATAAACCATAACTGAAAAGAATATTAAAAGAATGAATATATCAATATATGTATAACTGAATCACCTTGCTGTACAGAAATTAATACAACATTGTAAAATTTAAAACTTTTTTTAAAGAGCTATGTACAATATATCTTTGAATGCCCAGAGTCCATCTCTTTACAAGACCATCAACCTTCTTAAACTAACAGCCGCTAACATTTGAGCACCTCCAAATACGTGCTTGACATACTTAGGACAACACTGTGAGGCAGATACCGTTTTTTTTGGCCACACCATGGCAAAACATGGGATCTTAATTTCTCTGATCAGGGATGGAACCTACACCCCCTGCATTGGATGCTGGACCACCAGGGAAGCCTCGAGGTAGATGCTCGTATCCCCATTTTACAGACACAGAAACAAGCACAGAGGTCACACAGCTGCAAGTACACTTTCACCCAAGCAACCCAGCTTTTCCAATACTGGGGTTCCATCATCTTGTCTAATTTCAGAGTTTTTATGACATTATGATTTCTACTTTTACAGCTTATTTCACATTTATAACACTTCAGTTTCAGGTGCCTGGTTGGCACATGAATATCTTAAAAGGTTTTTGGTTGTTTCTCTTTTAAGACATCCTGGAAGTATGAATTTCCTGAGTCAGGGTATTTTATTA